GGTCCGGGCGCTGGTCTACGGCCACCACGGGCACCCGGCCAAGGTCGTCGAGTAAGAGACCGCGCCGAAACGGGGCCGGGGGACTGGGATTCTTGTAGGGGTTTCCGACGGGCTGTGCAGAGGGAGACTGGGAAGGGAGAGACAGGGTCCAAGGAAGAAGGTAGAGAGTAATAGGACCGAAGCTGGAGCCCGGGGTATGTTTGGTAGCTCAGAAAGTCCGCGTTTCGAAGAAGTTGAAGATCCGAGAGGCACAAGTATAACTGTGATAGTGGCTGACGTTATTGATGGAGTGCTGTATATGTCGGGCAGTCCCTGTGTAAATCGTCACAACCACCTCTGGGCTAGGTACTTGATGTAGCCCCATTTTTCAGATGAGAAAACTGAGGCATCAGAGAGGTAAAATCACTTGCTCAAAGTCACACATCCAATAAGTGGCAGAGTTGAAATTTGAATCCAGTCGGACTGACCGACCCACCCAAGTTCTTTCCTTCTGTTATTTTTTGGAGGGGGTGTTCAGAATACTTTTACATCCATTTGGATCTTCACTTCTCAATACAGTAGGTCAAAGATCATTGTTTTCATTTTACAAAGGACAAGGGACTTGTCCAAAGTGCTATACTAATACAGATTGGAACAGGGGCAGGAATCCATGGCTTCTGACACCTGGTCTCGTGTGATTTCCTGTCCACCGTGCTGTGTGCCTTTAGTTACAAATGCTCCTATTTTGGAGCCAATACAAGACCTGTTTGACCTTAGACAAGTCACTCAGCCCCTCTGAGCCCTCATTACTTTTATAATTATGTCCTCCTAAAATTCTATTAGATCTTAATAAATGATTTTTGCATGTGACTAATAAAAACAGTATATGAATTTTCAACCACTATAAATCTGCCCATAAGTAACTAGAGGTATACCTCGTTTTATGGTGCTTCGCTTTATTGCACTTTGTGTTTTGCGAATTAGGCAGGACCCTATACCCGCAATAAGATTATGACTCGCTTTATTGCTATACTGGTCTTGTTACAGGATCTGGAACCGAACCTAAAATATCTTCTGTTTAGGTATCCAAAAGGGCTAGTGGAGTCACTGTAGAGGAGCTACAGTGAAAGCACTGACCTGTAAATCAGAAAACCTGGGGTCAAATTCTTGCCCTCCCTGTCCTAGCTGTGTGTTCGGCAAGTAACTGAGGTTCTCTGAGCCTTGATTTCATTATCTTTAAAAATGGAGACAATACAATCATAGCTCATAGTGCCAATCAGCTGAGGTCAATCTAATGCTTTCCACCAAAAAGTACCTACATACTCTCCTGCAGTCCCTTGTTCACAACTCTTTGATTCCCAGCAAATGGTTTGCTTGTTTTCCAGAGGACAGGCAAACGGAATTATTTTCATGATTAAAATACAGACTAGAGTGCTCACTTCAGCAGCACATGTACTACAACTGGAATAATACAGAGAAGATTAGCATGGTCTCTGCAACAGGATGGCACACAAATTCATGAAGCAGCCCATATTTTTACTTAAAAAAAAAGATGAGAGTTGTTTTGACAGCCCGAGAGGATATACCTCGGATAAATTTCAAGGTCATTCCCCCAGCCTAGCCACATCCACCATTAGAATATTGAGACCAAGAGTTTTGAGAAGACTCATCAGTCAATAAACCCCAAACTGTATGTTGCTCATGAGTAAATAAGTCACCAATAAACCCCAAATTGTATGTTGATCATCAGTAATATATTCCCATGAGGACTGTGCTGTGATGAGCTGGTAAAGCTCTGAGGAACACTCCTTTTCCAGGATTGCACCCCAAACAGGAACGATGTAGTGCCTCTCTCTCGGGCTTGTGATTTATGTCTGGTACAGGGCCTGCCACAAAACAGGTGCTCCAAAAACGCTCTTACATCTGTATCTGATGTCAGTAGGAAGTGCACCTTTTCTTGAGCTCTGTGCCGATGAAGAAGGCATCTCCAGTGTTCGGGATGCTGAGGAAAGGCCGGGGCAGGTTAGGCAGTTGAATGCAGCTGCCTCCTGATTGATCACCTCCTCCCGGAGCGCCAGGGAAGCTGGAACAGACTTGTTGCTGATGCCACTAAGGCAGTGGTTCTCAACCTTGGCTGCACATTAGAATCACCTGGGAATCTTTTTTAAGTCCTGATTTCTGGGCCTCACCCTCCGGAAATTCTGTTTCTTTGTTACTAATGTTGTGGCCTCACCCCATAACAAAGAAAGAGAATTTCCGGAGGATGAGGCACTAAGGGAAAAGGGATAACCGTCTTGTCTCCTTGTATGGAACCCTAGTAATTTCCCAACATTCAAAACATGATACTTCCATAAAGCATTGGATTCAACCTTGGCTTCACATCTCAGTCACCTATGCCACTTTTAGAAATGACATATCCCCAGGCGTTACCCCTGAAGTACTTAGTATGTCTGGGGAGGCCCTGAAATCTGTGTTTTCAGAGCTCTCCACGTGACTCCGATGTGCAGGCCAGGGTTGAGAGCCGTTGTCCTGTGGATGTGGACTGGCAGGCAGGCAGGCGGTTCTCACTCTGCCTGAGAATGGCAGCTTTCCTTTCTGACCCAGATTCGGGCCATTTGACTTGTTCCTGTATGGACCGAAGCCAGAGGCTGGGATTCTCTCCTTTGTAGTCATGTCTTAGGAGGTTTAAGGTAACCGCAGTGTCACAGAAAGAAGCAGGTGTCCTTTAAGTATCCTAGTAACTGGGTATGTGGGTCAGGCTACACCAGGTAGGGCCATGGCACTACTCAGAGTCCACGCAGACTATTTCTCAAACCAGCGTGGTTTGTGATGTTTGCTCTGTGGACCAGAGCTCTGGGAGCAGCAGAGAGGAAATGAGGAACAGTCTGCTCAGGTCTGAGGAGTGGTGAGGCCTCCAGGGAGCTCCTGTTCTCATTTCAACATTCTGAATGCCCTTCTCTTCAATCCTGGAGGCTCCCAAACTAAGCTCTTTCCTCCTCTACTAAGTCTTTCCCTGATATTTTATAGTTTCTTTCTTTTCCCCCAAAAAATAGACTCCCCTATATCAGTGATGGCGAACCTTTTGAGCTCGGCATATCAGCATTTTGAAAAACCCTAACTTAACTCTGGTGCCGTGTCACATAGAGAAATTTTTTGATATTTGCAACCATAGTAAAACAAAGACTTATATTTTTGATATTTATTTTATATATTTAAATGCCATTTAACAAAGAAAAATCAACCAAAAAAATGAGTTCGAGTGTCACCTCTGACACGCGTGTCATAGGTTCGCCATCACTGCCCTATATAGTTGGGCCTTTTTCATTTAAAGAATTAAACAGCTGATCTAAATGAAGTAAGAATGTGCAAGAGAGCCCAGCAAGGTGGCTCAATTGGTTGGAGTGTCGTCCCATACACCAAAAAGGTTGTGGGTTCGATTCCAGGTCAGGGCACATACCTAGGTTGCGGGTTTGATCCCAGGTTGGGGTACATATAGGAGGCAACCAATTGATGTTTCTCTCTGCCCTCTCTCTTTCTATCCCTTCCTCCCTCCCTCCCTCCCTCTCTCTAACACCAATTAAAAAAATATATCCTCAGGTGAGGATTTTTTAAAAGTTGCAGGAGAAAATTACAACATGGGAGAGTGGCAAACATTCTGGACATTTCAGAGGTCCCTAGGCCCTTGTGCAAAGTTCCGGATTCTCTATCACAGCGATTTTCAACTGGTGTGCTGCAAAAAGCTTTAAAACATGCAACACCTGACTATTTAGTCAGGGGCACTGATCTCTTTTCCCTTAGATTGTCAAATTAAAAAGAAGAAATGACAACCGCCAACACAACAGTAGCTGTGATTGAATCAAAATTATACCTTTTTTTTTTTTGTCAAATCGGCATAACTTTTTTTATGTGCTGCAGAATTTTAGTAATTAGTTTACGTGCGCTGTGAGATGATAAAGGTTGACAATTGCTGCTCTATCAGATAGTTCCCACGTACTCCAATGTCCTTTCCTTTTGTTCCTGAAAGTCCCCTTTCAGAATTTTGCATTCTCTGGGTCTTACGGTAAAAGCTGCTCTCATTCATTCTATACCTACTATGTGGCAGGCATTGGGCTAAGTTCTCCAGATATATTATGGAATTTTAAACTCAATTGGGGTTGGTCATTGTTATCCCCATTTTACAGACAAGATAACTGAGGCTCAAGAAACTGGAAAGACACTCGTCTAAGATCATACAACTAGGATGTGGCTTTATTAATAGTCCTCGATATGGACATAGACCTGAAGAAACAATGACAATCATCCCAAGTGTTTTTTGAGAATGAGATGGCAGATAACATTGGGAATCAGATAGGTCAGAAGAGAAGATGAGATTATAGGTCATTCAGGTGACCCCAAGTCTCTACTCTTCATAAGAAGGGCAGCCCCACCCTGGGGAAGACAGTAAGAATGTCCTGTCTCCTCCATTTTCCAGATCCTGGTCATCACAGCTTTCTCACCTGCCTGCTGCTGGCACACGATGAGGCAAAGCTGTGACACCCTTGGACAGATACCCACTCTGTTAACCAGATGGAATTTTGGGGAGCAGGTGGTGGGCTGTGTAGATAGTGAGTTCTCCCTGTAGGGCACTGTTTGTTCTCAGGGATCTCTCTTTTTTTGCAGTTGATGTTAGTGTTGAAAACCCAAACTCTGTGCTGGTGACTTGGTTTTTTAAAAGAGAATTATAGTACTTTGAAAAAAAATTAGCATTTTGGTTTGGCACTCTGTTGAAAACTGGGATTTTGTTTCTTTTGTCTTGTCTCTTGGAGCTCTTTATTGTGGTCATGAATGAAGGAGGGGGGACAGAACTCATTAAGTTATTTATTCTTTAAAAAAATAACTTAAGTAAGTGCTGGGCACTGAGAATGCCCAGACGAATAATCTGCGGTCTTTGTCCTCAGGGGACTCACATTCTAGTCCAGGAGGAAACGTGTAGAAATGTTCCAAGCAGAAGATCCCGCATGTGGTGTGTCTGATCAACAGATATCTAGGAAGTGCCTACCTGTAATCCTTTGAGGGAGGTACCTGCTGAAATA